CCTAGAGTCAGAGTGGGAGGGGGCTACACAGTATCACATATGCTAATATCTCATCACAAGGCAAATCATATGACCTAGAGCCAGAGTGGGAGGGGGCTGCACAAGGACATGAATTTTTATAGACATGGTTCTTGGGGAGCTACAAATGTAATTGATTGCATGAGTTTGGGTTTTAAGGAAGAGTGAGAACAGTATTATATGAGTTAAATAATATATTAATAAATAATATCACAAAATTATAATTAGCAATCTTGGATTTAATTTGTTCAGGGGATGCTATTAGCAGCTGAGAGGAATGAAGTTGAACTAAAATTGAAACAACTGACTTTGTATCCCATGAGCCTTTTTGGAAAGATAATAAATCTTGACAAAAAAGTGTGTCCACTTCTTTTTGACAGAATTATCTATCGTTAACATGTGTCATCAAACTGAATAAGCTAGGCTTCTATTTAGAGTTTTAGTCTTCTGCTCTTTTCCCTCTTAATCCTTTACCCATCAACTTCCACTTCCTTCTCACTCCCTTTTTTCTGTTTCATGTCATCATAATGTCCATGCACTGGAAAGGTTATTTAAAAAAAAAAAAAAAAAAGTAACTTAATTTGTATTTATAATAATTACATGCTTTGAAAGCTTTTCAATATTATTTAACTTTTCTTGTTTATTGGTGCACTTAATGGAAATTAACTGAGTCACTGAAAATTCTGACATTCCTGATTTTAAGTGAAGTAGGGGATTAACAGTTTTCTAGGGATTTCGGAATCATAGAGACAGACATAGCTGCATTGGCTCTGTATCTTAGACATTGTCCGACTGTCTTTTCTTTCCCAAAATGAAAGCATGACATTTTAAACTTTAAGTATTCAAAATGGTTTTCACATTTCCTGAAAATTGTTTTTACTTTAGAACTGCTTTTCTTTCTCAGGTCATCACAATTGTATTACCCTCGTCTCTTTTTAATATAATTTCCTCTGACAAAGAAATTCATAATTACAAGGTATTTAGGAGGCACCCATATAATATTTGGAGTAAAAACAAGATCTTTAGAATCCATGGATATTGGTTCTAGCTTGGCCAGTTACTATCTGTTAAGCCTTGGAATTTTTCTTAGCTTCATTAGTCTATGTTCATTTTTTTTTTTTTTTTTTTAAAGTTTATGGTAAAGTTCCCTCAGGTGGTTGTTTGTATTAAATAAAAAATTCTTGTGAAAATTATTTACATTGTGTTTGACATAGAAGTATTATAATGTGTATTTTATTATATCTTGTAGTGACTTAAGTGAAATGAAATTTTGTGATGGTTAAGGTTATATGTTATCACAGCTAGGCCATAATTCTTAATGGTTTGGTAGATATTGTGTAATCATCCTTTATTTTGTCACCTGATTGAGCAACAAATCTGTTGAAACAAAATTTTTCTTGGGCATGTGACCTGCATCCAATATTTATGGATGTTCTGGCAAAGCTCACTGTCTTTCGATCCTGCATCTGTGTAGTCATCCTCTGACCTCTGTTCTTGAGCTGTGAGCCAGTAGCCTGTTACCTGATATGCTGGTGTTAGATTTGTCCATTTCTGCAACTACATCTGGTAGTAGAAGCCTCCAGCCTGACACCTGCTCTATAGGTTTGAGACTTACCACCCATGCCCTTGAAATGAATCACTCTTTATATACTTATATGTACATTTTTCTGGTTTTGTTCCTTGAGAGAATCTAGCTGAAGACAACTATTAAAGTAAATAGGGAACCTCTGTCATGTTTAAATTAAATTCATTTTCTGCAATTACATAGCTGTGGTCTCATTAAACCTCTTGATTGTGGAGCTGATTATTAGAGTTACAGAGTAATCATACAAGAACATAGAGTCAACAGGAAGGAAGGGTGGTAACTCTGTGATACCTCAAAAGCAAATTATCAAATTTATCATATATTCAGAAAAGAGAAGAGATTGAAGCTTTGGGTTTAACTAATGTTTGGAAATATTTCCGTTTCTTTTTATCTGTTTTTGATTCCTATAGTTTCACCATTAGAATTTAAAAGTAGATTTTATCTATAGTAGACTTTAAAATTCTAAAATCTGTTTTATTGTTTATGGAAATGTATTTATTTATAAAACTCCTGTTGTGGTACTGTACTATAAGCACTGGATTGCTAACTGCAAGGTCAGTGGTTCAAACCCACAGCTGCTTCTCAGGAACCCTATACAGGCTTGCTGTCAGTCAGAATTGACTTGACAGCGCTTATTTATAAACTTGATTTTACCTTTGAGCAAACTTCAGAAAAAATACTGCCAAGATGTATTATAACATGTTTTCTCAAATGCCTTTCTCATTATCTTCTTGAAAATTTCTCTCTAAAATTATCTTAGGAATGACTGTAATTAGGCTAATTGTGTGCACCCATATGCATAGCTTATGGCAATAGCAGAAAATCTCCATAGTAAGAATGTGGTACAATGTGTTTGAACATGAGACCACAGTGCTTTCAAGGTTGGCCTTGCAGTCAGTCATGTGCTAACAGCTGTGAGGAACAGAACTTTACAAAACTCCTTTGGTGTAAAAAGGAATCAGCAGTTATTTATAGGGAATAATTAATGCAACTTTTTAATAAAAGTATGCACAATTTTCAACCCTTGACAACTGTTAAAAAGAAAAGAAGGATGAATATGAAGCATATTTTTTACTGAAAGTAAAGTCTTGAAGAAAAATAGGTGATATCTATGACTATGCAAGACACTGTTCTCCAGAGAATAATAAAGTTAAAATTATTAAACAGAAAAAAATCCATTCTCAAATGTAATTGTAAACATGTGGAAAGTCCCTGTAAATATTATACATAGTATTGTTAATAAATAGAAATCGAATGCTTTCATATGGTCCTGATTTTTTTTTAATTATTTATTTTAAGAAGCAAACATATAAAGGGAACAAAAGGAGAAAAGAGTGGAAGGAAAGTAGGGAGGAACATACTAAAAGAATGAATAAAGGGCAAAAGAAAAATGTGTATTTATTTATCCAAGTGAGGATGATGCTGGCTTATTTCTACTATCAACAATGTCATTCATTCAGAATTAACTCACCTGGTCAAATGGTTGGATATCCTAATGATTATTTTGGAATTGTATATTGCCAAAGGAGTAAACTTGGCAAATGATTTGCCTTTAATCACTACTATGTGCTTGCTGACTAAATAGTTTTGTTACACTGGTTTGACCAAAACCCTTATTATATGTTCAATTATTATTCATTAGAATGACTCTTGACCTATTCAAAGAATCATTTATTTCCAAATGATGACTATTTACAAGTATTAATAAACTTATCGTAATTGGGTTAAGAAACTTTATTTCAAATATGGCAGTAATTCCTATTTCTTCTCCAGCATTAGCTGAAACATTCCCTTTGTTCAGCTTTTCCACTCTTACATTTGAGCACCTGTGACCCCACCTTCAATTGAAGTTTTAATCTCGAGACAGTGGTGGGAAGAAGTCATCATTTTCTTCTTCTCGCTCTGTAATTTTTACTTTCAAAATGTGATAGCATAGGCACCCATTTTATTCTCACAGAATGACTTGTCAATATTTCAGACATTTTGAATTATTTACTCGATTTACCAAACAAATACGTACAAGTGGAGTTATTTAAATAGTTATGTAATTATGCAAACTTTCTTAAATGCAGACTATTACAGATGCTCAGTGAAACTGTGTCTTCAAGAGAGTCTAAGTAATGAGTTGTGCTAAATGACCATGAATAGCCATTCTTTATCAAGCCAAGCTTTTGAGCTTCTTTGGCAGTATTGTTGTTGTTAAGTGCAGTTGGGATGGTTCCTACTCATAGCAACCCTATATAGGGTTTCTGAGGAGCAGCTGGTGGGTTTGAACTGCCGACCTTGTAGTTTGCAGTCCAGTGCTAATCCTACAGCACCACACTAGGAGTTGAGTTGGCTGCATTAGCTTACAGTTATCAGGCGTCTCTAATATAGGCTAATTGGGTAATGTGTGGTGCTGTGGGTTAATGCGCTGAACTGCAAGGTTGATTTGAATCACATGGTCTGCAGCTCAAGCTCCTTGTAAACCCTATACAGGGTCCCTGTGAGTCACAACTGACTCAATGGCACTTAACAACAATTTATACAATTAAAGTTGCAGGACAAATGCTTGTGTAGTACTCATTTGTTTTAGATATATGAAGGTATAATGAGCTTTAGTAACAATTTATGTCTACTCTGTAAGTGTGCATAGTATCTGGTATAGTTAATTTTCTGAAAACACTGTGTGTCAGGTTGCTTTAGGAATACAAAGACACGCAATATGGTTCCAGTTAGGTAATATTGATCAGAAGAAAACTCTGTGCTAAAGAAAGGAGCAGTATTATTAAGTTAGTAAAAATAAACTGTGCTAAGTCAATATATTTAAGATTAAATTAGAAAAAAGATGGATGAAGAGGGGGTTACTGCAAAGTGATGATACAAGTGAAGAGAGTAAAGGATCTGAGACTGAATTGTGTTGGCCTCAATCAGCATTATATTAATGTTAATAGAAAATACACATTTACCAATGATAATCTAAAATGAGTCCTGGTGTGGCGCTGTGGGCTAATGCGCTAGACTGCAAAGTCAGTTTGAACCACAGGGCTGGTGATTCAAGCTCACTAGCCACTCCTCGGAAACCCTGTGCAGAGTTGCTATGGGTCAGAACTAACTCCATGGCACTTAACAACAACAGTTTAAAATTAGGGTAAAACAAGAGTTTCTCTTTTTCTACCTTGAGCACATTTTTGGACAGCAATTTATCCTTAAATTATTATCACTAAGATTATATCATTACATCTGTCTGAACCCAACTCTGATTGTAAAGAACATCGATTTATCAAAGTTAAAATAGTAATTCTACTGTTTCTAGTAGGAGTCCAGATGCCTATTTGGAATATCAAGAGTCTGGCTTTAAGTTGATCATTGTAATATCTAACACAAAACTTCTCCCTCTTTTATTTTTTTTCTTTAGTACGGCTTCATGACAGCATATCAGAAGAGGGCTTTCATTACTTGGTGTTTGATTTGTAAGTACACATTTTATGCTCATTAATTTTTGCAAACTCTTTTAAAACATTTTAAATTAAATGTGATTTTTCTCATTGTACAGTCCAAGTTAATGTCCATAATATTTTTATATGTTATGCATCCAACTGTTAATTCTTTCTAAAAAGAGATGACTGACAGACAGCGTTTATTTAAAAATTAATCTTTATCATTGAAACAGATTAAAAACGTTTCCTTTTTGATTATCCATTACCATATCATAAGTAGTTATCAATTTGACCTTTATGACTGACATCAGCCAAATTTCCTGTTGGATTCTTTTAACTATGTACAAATTTATTATCTCATATAAAAAGATCCTAAGGAAAGGTGGTCTTAGCGTTGCTAAATTCAGGGGTCAGTAACATCACTGAGCTCCCATCCTTTACTCTAGTCCATTAGTTTTGCTCTTACACTGACATGGTTGACATATTGTGTGCAGACAGTGAAATGTACAGTGAGAACATGGTCTCTTGTTCTTCCTATGAATAAAAAATGTACCCAGTTCATTGCCTACTTAATCTCATTCATCAAGACTGGTTTATGTGCATACCCCTAACCAATCACTAGCAATAGAATAGCAAGATGGATTTAAACTACTCAGGATTTGCAAACTGTGGTTCTACCAACAAAGATAAAGGGATAATAATGGTTCCTGGGTAGGCAACTCACAGTATCTGCTTTGGATAGCAAGGATGCATGGAACAGGTCACACACATAGCTAGTGGGAATTTAACAAATTGTATATTTTTAAAAATAAATTTGATACTATGTATCAAGAGACTCAAAAGTGCTCAAACTCTTTGACGTAGTAATTCTACTTCTAGAAACAAAATCCATGGAAGTATACCCTTCATGAAAATAAAATTTATGCTAAAAGGTGTTTGTTGTAGTATCCTATATAATGAGGGTAATAAAACTAAAAAAAGAACAATTTAGGGTCCAGTAGCAGGGAAACAGTTGTGTAACAAGAGTAAATTCATACAATGGAATATCTCTAGTATTTTAAAGTGATGTTTACAAAGAAGCTTTTGAAACAGATAAGTAAGAAAAATTTATTATTTTACATAATACGAGCATAGTGGTATGAGATTTGATTAATTCAACTATTCAATGATGTCATTAAAAAAACTACCTTCTTTCCTTCTTCCTGTCAGTTCCTTCTAGCATGTGGGCTACAAGTTGGCTGCCTCAGTTTTCGGTATCACAGTGACTTCCAAAGGGTGAAAAAAAAGGAATGTTAATTCCATTGCATATATTTTTATCTATGAGAAAACCTTTCCCAGCAGTCCCTCAGAAAACATCTGCTAATGGATCCTTCTTTAGAATTGCTTCTCATGCCCATGTCTAAACAAGGTATTGGCAAAAGGAATGGAATTACAGTGACTGGTATAAGCCAATCATAATTCTGTCAGTAGGTCTGGGTAGAGAACCTCCCTCCCCCTGAATCACATGAGGGCCAGTGAAGAACTAAATCATGGTTCTGTTATTAAGAAAGAAGGAAAGTCTTGTCTGTTGGGTAGCATGCCAAGCGTGCAGTCACGTTAAGTGATCTATAGGCATGCTGTAGAAAAGAAGCATTAGCTTTGCTTATGAACAGTTCTTCAGCACAGGTTTCTCTCTACAGCTACAGTCCATCCATGGTTTGCTCATGTAGGTGTAGTTTCACACCACTGCATGCTAGACTAACAATCCTTCCCCTTGTATATCCTCTTGGAGCTCATATTTTTATTTTCTATGTTACTCATAGATGTTTTCTTCCTTTTTGATGTCTCAGGAATCCCCTTGTTTGTTTGCTTCTTCCATTTCCTTTCTATTTGAAGAATTTCCTTTAGACAGTTTTTTTTAGGGTGTGTCTGGCAGGCAATATATATTCTTAGTTTTCCATTTTCTGAGAATTTCCCTTTTATTCTTGAAGGATATTTTTGCAGGACATGCAGGTGTTTGGCAGTCTTTTTCTTTGAATGTGCCACTTCCTTCTTCCTTCTTTGTTTTTTTATATAAGAAACCTGCTATCATTAAACATATACTTATGAAGATCACAGAGCACAGTCTTCGATTTGGATTACATCTCAATGTTAAGAAAACAAAAATCCTCACCACTGGACCAATAAACAGCATTCTTATCAATGGAGAAGAGATTGAAGTTGTCAAGGACTTCATTCTCT